TGCTGTACAGGTGGACAAACAGTCTGCACTGATACTCCCAGCCAATAGACACACACACTCTTTTTCAGCCTTCCTCCCATTCACTCTCTGCCAATTGTGCAGTTTGTTTCTGGCCTTGTTTTTGATTTCTTTTATTACCGTTTTATCTCACAACCTGAGCATCTGTTAAGAATAGAAAATTGTCATCTTGCGATAGTGTTTTATGATTAAAGCTGTGCAACAGCTGCAAACCGTCAGGTGTTTCTCAGCTTCTGTCAAAATTCATCCTTCTGTCAAAATTAATTCATTAGAAGATGAACAGAACCTGTTTGCTGAGAAAGCTGCCCTGCTGTTTACTTTTTATTTGTTGTGTTTCTTAGGAAAGACACTGATTTTTCTCTTGAAATGACACTTGGTGGATGGCAGAATGCCATGCGGAAATTTTATTTCTTCTGCTTCTAAAATGTCTCAGCCATTGAGAAGTGTGAAGTGTTGATAGTGTTGCAAATGTGTGTGTTTTGTTCTTCTGTGATGGTCAAATATTTTGTAGTATTTTTTTTTGTTAAAGGGATAGTTCTCCATAAAATTAAAATTCAGTCTTCTTTTACTTGCCCTCTTGTGGGACACAAAAGGAGAACACTGAAGGATGTTAAAGGTGCTCTTTTTCTGTACAATCAAAGCAATAGTGGCCATGAGCTGTCAAGCTTTCCATAGACTCATGCACTGTATTATTCTTAAGCTGCCCTGCTGTTTACTTTTTATTTGTTTTGTTTCTTAGGAAAGACACTGATTTTTCTCTTGAAATGACACTTGGTGGATGGCAGAATGCCATGCGGAAATTTTGTTTCTTCTGCTTCTAAAATGTCTCAGCCATTGAGAAGTGTGAAGTGTTGATAGTGTTGCAAATGTGTGTGTTTTGTTCTTCTGTGATGGTCAAATATTTTGTAGTATTTTTTTTTGTTAAAGGGATAGTTCTCCATAAAATTAAAATTCAGTCTTCTTTTACTTGCCCTCTTGTGGGACACAAAAGGAGAACACTGAAGGATGTTAAAGGTGCTCTTTTTCTGTACAATCAAAGCAATAGTGGCCATGAGCTGTCAAGCTTTCCATAGACTCATGCACTGTATTATTCTTAAGGTGCAGCCACATTGTCTATTGTCAGTAGTGTAGCAATGTATGAAGTACAGCTTCACATCAAACTAAGCAGCTTTCTGTTTGTCAATGCAGTACAATGCAGTGAAATCTTTCACTCTCACACAGAATTCCAGATTGTGTAGATTCCTGTTGAAATGACTGGTTTTCACCCATAAAAATTTGCCAAACAATAAATGTGTCTGACGCCATACAGTAGGAACAGATTGAAACGTAATTTATTTTTTTTCTTTCTGCAGCAGCATGGTCACATTTAAAACTGAGAAACTCTTGACTGGGTTTGGAACCAAATGAGGTTTGGTACCAGGATTTTCATTTTTGGTTGCAGCACCACTGTTAACCAAGCGGCAACCTCCCCCTCTCTCTGGTGAAGCCAACAAGGAAGTGACTTAAACTGTAATTCATCAACTGGCCGCTAGAGGCTGGCTGCAAAAGGGAGTCAATCCCATAGACTCCCCATGTTAAAATGCCCAACTTTACAGCAGAAAAAAACATGTTTACAGCCTGGTTCAAAAAATGATTTTGGTCTATATAGCTAATTTTGCCCTTCATGACAACTGTGAGGGGGGTGAATTTTTTTTATAACTCATCCGTTTAAATTATATTAAGCCTTAAAGTTCTGCATAATTAAGGCGTGGCCACTTGAGTGACAGGTGGATTGCCACTGCTGTCACCACCGTCGAGCTAGGTGGGCGTGGCTTCAGCAACCTGCTCCCGCCTCTTTGCCCATTTTCGATTATCCGGGAGTGACACGCGGTGAGAGCCAAGATGGCGACGGCTGGCTCCTCCTACTTTAGGCTTCAAAACGCTCGTCGGAAGTCTACGGGTTACGTCACGGACACTACGTCCATGTTTTTATACAGTCTATGCTTTTAACTAGTAGCCTCTGGCCGATGGAATTATAATTAACGTTAAAGCATTTTTCTGAACTGAAGAAAATGTATTGATGTATTCTCAGTGTGCTCTGGTAAGCTTTTGAAAGCAGCTGAGAAACATTTGAGGAGGGAAAAAAAATGCTTCTCGATAGAACATGCAGCATTACAGAGCTCTGAGCCAACTCTTGAACACTAGATTGCAGGAATAATTGCCCTGTAACTAGTGGTCAACCGATATATCGCCAAGGCCGATATATCGGCCGATATTTGGTATTTTTTAAATATCGGCATCGGCCAATAAGTTTTCCTGTTTGGCCGATGCGTTCGAGGGACTTTTATTTTAACGTCGCTGATAGCGGCAGTGCCTGAGCACACAGTGCTCACATTCTCCCTCTTGTTCGCTGTTGTCGTTAACAGTTCTGTCTAAGTCAGTGCTGATGGCCCTCTTGCACAGCCGTTATTCTGTTCTCGGAGTAAAAGGAACCGCTCTATTCAAGCCATTTTGGTGCTTGAGGCTTATTGTCATAGCAGACATGGTTGAAGCCCAGGGGAGGTAGAGTTAAGGCTGATTTATACTTCTGCGTCGGACCTACGCCGTTGAATTAGTGCTCTGCATTTAACCCATCCAAAGTGCACACTAGACTTGTGCCGGTATTCGGTAATGCGATATATCACGGTAATGAATATGCATCAAATAAAGCTTTTAAAAAGTTTAATAAAAAGGTAAATCTCACATTTCAGTGTATTTATATGTATTTCATATCATATCATTATATGTATTTTATCTACTCCATAAATAATTCTAGATAACTTATCTGAATTGTTTAAATGTGTATCCGCCCTGTTTTCACTCAAAACGAAACAACTCTGCTGCTGTGCGCACGTGAGACTTTTACTTAAACCTGTGCTTTTTGCTGGACAGTATTTATTTATCGCGAGTTGTTCAAATCGCGGTAATCTAATACGGTTTTAATGATAATTAAAAGATGAAACGGTAATACTAACCGTGGGGAATTTTATCATGATTTATCATCAAACCGGTAATCGTTACATCCCTACGCATGGCAGATCAACATTGTTTGTCGCGGACAACTAGTGATGTATAATGCTATGTAGTATAATAAATGATAAGACACTTGTTCTTTGCTTTGTTTTATTTTATATAAGAAGGTGTAACATTAAAATCTATTAAAGTGCGCATAAACACACACAAAACTCAAGTACATACGGAGGGAGGGGTTCTAGCAGACCAATCACAGCGCTTGCAGTCCGCGTAGAATTGACGCGCTGTTAGATTTTTGGAAAGGTGCACGTCAGGCTACGGTGTAGGGTGTGCGTCTATGCGTAGGCTACGGCGTAGGTTCGACGCAGAAGTATAAATCAGCCTTTAGATTCAAAACAGGAAAAGGTTGGTTCTCTGTAGGTTGTGTTGACTGATGGAAAGCCAGTGTCAAAGTTCTTCCTCTGAAAATACTCACCCAGTCACCCAGAGGTTGGAGTGTCTTATTAGTCATATTGTCTTATAGGCTCTTTTATACACTGTCAGACTACATTGCCTTTTCCAAAATAAGCAGAGTATATAACTGTCATCATCCTGTCAAGATTTCAGGCTTGTGAAGTAAAGGGACTAGAAAAGCTGTTCGTGAGATGAAATGTATGGATCGCTGTGGGTAACAACTGTTGTTGGAGCAGATACTATAGAGTTGTGACGAAGTAAACGCTCCCTGCTAAGGTCAAGCTATTCTTAGCATAAATGCTACTGTGCCAGGAAGTTGCTTTTTGAGTCTGAGGAAGGATGGGAGGGAAAAAACATAAACTGTACTTTCCCACAATAGAAGAATATAAATGTAAAATATAAGTGCCCTCATGCACATATGACAGTAGTTAGTTTTTTTTCCTCTATGTTCTCTGCTCCGCTTATTAATGTATGTTATGACAGTATAAAGCCAGCTTCACACATAAGCCACACACATTCATATTCATGCCCATATTTACAGATGATAGTATTCATACTACATTTGTTTAGCCTATTTTGCTGTGCTTTTTAGTAATTTCTTTTATTTTAAAATGATATTATATATTATTATACATTTTTTTTACACATAAATGCAGTTTATTTTTTATAATTATTATCTTTACCAAATCAAGTTATTTTTACAAAAAAATGCAAACGCAGATGGAAAATTATTAGGGATGTAACGATTCACTCAACTCACGATTCGGTTCGATTCACTCAGACATACATTCATACAAACTGCTGCCCCTAATAGAATCGCGATTTGTTTAGCATCTCAACCGATTTGAATCGTCACATATTTGGATCGATTTTCAGCCGGCTCGCAGTTAATCGTTACATCCCTAAAATTATACAGTAATTATAATCATACAAGAGGCTCCAAGACAGCAATACATTTATTATCACTTTTGCTGGGCAATGGCATTGCTGGCCAAATACTGCTGATTGAGTTGTAGTTTGCCATTTTTTTCCAATCATGGCCGGATCCCAGTAATTATTTTATAATTTATGGCTGTTTTAAGGGTAAATTCAGTGTGACGAACTGGAATTCCACATTCTTTTTTGTTTGTTTGTTTGTTTGTTTTTGGCACTACGTGGTGCCCATCCCTGTCATGGTGCCCTGGGCATGTGTCCAGTCTCCCATCTGGTTAAAACAACCCCCATAGAGCCGCAGATGTATTACGCAGCAGAAACTGTCGGTTTTGAAAGGTCAGTGCCCTGCTGTAATGCTGATTTGCTTACACGCTGCAGACACAGGATGTGTGAAACGGGCCTAAGCCTTGTAATTTACGGATAATGAGTCATGTTGCAGCTCAAAGTGTAATTCCAGCAGTCACAGAGGTGTATGCCCACTCTGTCACCACAGTTTGCCTGTCAACCTTCTGCACCAAATCTTGTGTTCAGTAATAGCTAGTCAGATCACAACCTGTCCCTGACTTTCATCTGTCTTTCTCTCTCTTCCTTCTTTTATTCTGTAGGTCAGAATGGGAAACCCCTGAGCAAGTACATTCGACATTACGAAGGCCTGTCCTACGACACAGACGTCTTGCACAGCAAGCACCAGAGGGCTAAGAGGGCTCTGTCTCACCAGGACCAGTTCCTGCACCTGGACTTCCACGCTCACGGCAGGTCAGCCAAGCCTTCTTTTCTGCTCAACTGTTGATTCTGGAAAACTGGATGTGTCTTGTTCTTGTTTAATACTCGTCCTCTAAGCATTTATGAGGGGAAACGAGCTTCACAGATCTTGCGTTCTGTCAGTCTTTTTTTCTTTAGGATTGACCCTGGATTGTTCTACCTGAGGTTACACTTTTCACAGAGCAATACAGAATGATAGAGACCTCCAGTGATTCAGCGCTCCAGGCAATGCAGAAACAAATTGATCAGGCTTAGATCTTTGGGGTCTGGCAAGCAGCCCGCTGACATAATGCTTCCCGTTTCTGTGGTTTGTGAGCATGTCTTTAGCATCGTTCTGTTCTTGGATGGTACAACTGGTGCCATATAATTGCACCTGAGGCAGTGTAGTAATATGCCCAGTCAACATTTACACAGGATATGATTTGCTCCATTCTGATGACAGACACTGTCTGACAGCTTTATGACATTATATCTCAGTAGTAAATTAACAGTTCATTGCTCTCATTGTAGTAACTTTAATATAGCTGCCAGCTTTTTACTCTACATTCCCCTCTATATTTAATCTACAGATTTCATCTGACACAAACCTATTTTGTAGTCTTTATTTCACTACAGGGATTTTAGAAAGATTAATTTTTTTAGTCTCTGATGAAGGAGAGAAACTGATGAAATTGCACTGGGTCTTCATGAAAGAATTATTGCAGGTTTGATACAAGTTCACCTCTGCAGCATCTGTAGCATGATGTCGATTACCACAGAAAGTACTTTCAACTCGTACCTCAGTTTAAATAAAAATGATTAACATGTACAGCCTCTCCCCATGAAAGCCTTTTGTGCATATTTATCATAAGGTTTGAAAGCAGAAATGGAAAGCTTGTATTTTTGTTAACATTCTTACATGAATTATTCATTTGAAATATAACTTGATCTGTACAGTTTTTTACAGTCCAAAGGGTTGCTCATACTGACAGCAATTTGCAGCAGCAAAGTGATGGGATATTATTCATTTTTAACAAGAGTTGGCGCTTTTCGTTGACACAAGCAAAATATACCCGTGGCAAAGAAACAAAGTTGAGCAGAGCTTAACTTTATGCAAATGACCAGCGACACATTAATTTTAACATTTATTTGCTGCATTTTAAACATGCCCCAATGGGCTTCCATTGTAAGTGCATTACTGTGAAAACATTTTTCCTTTGTTTTTAGAAACCAAGGCATGCGTCTTTTTTTAGCAACTTTTTACAGATGCCTTTCAGCAAAGCTTTAACTATATTAATTTAACCAGTATTTATTCATCAAGCCTTCTGACTTTCTTTTAAGGACCATTAATCACATTCAAGCCTGTCTCAGTATTTTGTGAAAGAATTAACGTACAACTGAATTAAATAACAAGCATACAAACGAATAGTCTTGTTTTATTAGGCCATGCAAGAGACTGTGATGATACTGCGCAAATCCATTTGGCCTTAGTTTATCTCAACCTCCCTTTTGTCGGCAGTAGTGTTCCCTTCTGACCCTGCTATATGAAAACAAGGACCAAAGGACAGGAAGACCTGAGCCTGCTAAGCCCAATGACATAATCTTTCCTACGATGAGACGGATCTCTCTGTGTGTTCCTGTGATTGAATGTTGAAAGCTAGTTGACAGCTCCCTCACATTGAGCGTTTGGTTTTGACTTGTTCTTTGAGTTAGTAGACATCTTAGCCAACATTTGTTTGGATGATATTGTAAATCTGTTTTCAAGAATGCATGTGTGTCAAGAAAAGAGTAAGCACAGAACAAAAATTACTGCTCAAGTGCAGATTACCATACTGTACAAACTGTACAAACACACATGTGCATAAGCACTAGTGTATTCCTTTGTGTTGTGACAAAGGACCGCACCAAAACACACACACACAAATCCACATAACCATCTGCTTTCTCCTGCCTGCATGTGTGTGAAAGAGTGTTCAGCAGCAGCCTAAAAATAACATCCCAAGTGTTCTTTTATTTTCACTCTCTCTCTCTGTGTCTTCACATGAAGTGAGACTAAAGGAAGACAGCAGCTTACAAAGGAAGTGCTGTTATCAGTGAGTGAGTATGCCACAATGGATTCTACATTAAATAGTCATTGTGGACATTAGAAAAAGTGGATGACACTAAGTGAAAACTGTCCAAATGTTGTGCGATCCGATTACTTAAACCATATTCGGATCTAGTCAGAAATCCATGCGACTACATCATATATTTAGTGCAAAGACTCTTCTTAAACGTGTAAATACCAGGTGTAAATAGCAATCCATCTCATATGGATCATCATAGATGGACGTTAATATCAGGTGTAAACAAGGGTCCTTGTTTGCAGGAGCTCACAGGGCTCTTTCTCTCTTTGGACTTCAAAGGTCCCTTTTGAAGCCATTGTACTCGAACATGATGAAGGTCATCTATTGTGAAAGGGGTTCTGGGAGGCCAAAGTGTGAGTCAAGTTGATGTTTAGGTGCCTAACAGGATCTCTTGAGTGCGGCACAGCATATGAAGTGGCCATTTGTCACATGTGATGGAGTGTTTTTCTTTAAATTCTTTAAATTCATTATTCATGAATCAGCCTTATTATGTTTGGATGCTGAATTTAATTATGTAATAAGGTTAAAGTGCTCATTGAATGATGCTGTATATATTCATTTGTCTGTAAGTGCTACATGAGAATGTCTGATAACTTAAAGTGAAAGAAAATTGCACTTATAATTAATTATAAAAGTCTGGCTGACACTGTTGTCGATATTAAAGCCTTGAAAATAATGTTTTTAAAGCTTACAATGAATCTAAGCTTCACAACACTATAATGTACAGTATTAAAATGGTTGTTCATTTTGAGCTTTGCTAAGATTACATTTAGCAGGGTTATTAAATTATTAGTGTTTTTAATGTTTAAGTATGTGGTAGATGATAGCAAATACAATCTGAATGTTTATATTTAAATATATATATATATATATACACACACATACACCAGTGGTGAGCGGTGACTTTTTTTAACCGGGTATGCTGAGTGATAAGATTAAGCTCCCCTCCTCATCGCTTTTAAGACACACTCAAAGAGGAAAACACCGTGGCAGGTGTCGATTTAAAAGTATGCACATTCCTACTTTATTTGTAAATGAAATTCATCTCCAATCCTTCTACAGTTTCAGGTAGTTATTCGAATGCTAGAAAACAGCTGCTTTTCCGAGTAAAAACCGCCAAATAACGTAGTTACTTTATGATACGTAATATTCAGAGGGTGGGGAGATGGGGGATTCCCCCGCTCTATATGTCTCTGCATTCATTCATTCATTCATTCATTCCCAGTGAATAGGAGTGTCTCCCACCCGGGTGACACTACTCCAATAATAGACCATGCAAAACACACACACAAAAAACTTTTAATTAAATAAATAAACAAAATAATAATAATAATATCTTTAAAATATTGCCAAGTAACGTTGCAAACAACAATAAAATCAGAAAATGACTTTAATTGTAAGCGACACAAGTATACGGAAAATATAGAGTTATGATGTTTTTTTTTTCATATGATTTAGTCAATTTTCTGCAATCGAGATCTGACAGCAACAGCGCATTTTTCCGCTTGGGCGAGCGCTTTGCGGACAGCTTACCTCACGCATGAAATCTCCCGCAGACCAGCAAATCACTGCGAACGCGCTATAATCCTGAAGAGTCATAGCAATAGAGCGGAGGCGAGAAAGCTGCGGAGAATCCGCTCGCCCGGAAGCAA